AACTATTGCTATAACTAATGTCAAGATGTTAACTAATTGTCATCTTAGTAACACTCCCCAACATTGATATAGAAATAGTATTTAAAGAAAGAATTAATATTCAAGGAAGAAGATTAAAGATAATAACTCACAACTTACAAATTCATTAAGCTTCAAAGGAGCAAAACCAAGATGGAAGAGTTTAGCTCCTCATTTGGAGACTAAACATGATGAAAAATATAAAGAAAGAACTTGTCTAAACTGAGCTAAGAAGTATATGTGAATTGGTGATCTATTGTGAAGGAAAGGGGGTGTATTTATAGGCTTTTTGGGAGTGCAGCTCGGGTACTCGATCGAGTATATACAGATACTCGATCGAGTATGTGTAGAAACTCGAATTCGATCCATACTCGATCGAAATTAGAGTAAAATTTATAGCCATACCCGATCGAGTATGTCCAAGACCGTCTTTTAGGAGGTGCAATAGGTGTTTGGCACCGGGGCCCACTCTTGTAGGGGCCTCCAAATATTTAGAACGTAGTATTAGTTATAGGTTGATTTTTCTAGATGTTATGCACTATTCAAGATTTCAAAAGATATGTAGCTTTTAGATTCTCTAATTTGTATACTTTGGACATCATAAAACTTATATTTCATTGAAATGTCACATCTAAATGTATTTCGTTGTTAAAATTTGTATTGTTTTCTTGTTGTAGGGGCCTTAATTTGCCATTTAGAACCGGGGCCTCCAAATTCATTAGACGGCCCTGAGTATGTCGGTGTACCCGATCGGGTATAGACACTCGATCGTGGTCAAAATCTTCCCTGCATGTTCCTTTGTTTTCGGATCCGATCCGATTTGAAATTTCAACAAGATACCCGATCGAGTATATACAGATACTCGATCGAGTATAGACAAAAAATCAGGATCTTCCCCTTTGTCTTGTGATTTTGCACCCTCCTTCCACTTTTGGGGTTCACCAACCGTCCTTTAAGTGATAGTAGACCTGTTTGAGCTCAGAATAAACCTAATCTAAACAATTTACAAGAATTTAACAAACTAAACTATTACACCAAAAGTGTGTAATTTCCGAAATATTAAACAACCAAAACTATCTAAAAACATAAACATACACACGGAAATTACAAGTGTATCAACTCCCCCACACTTAGTTTTTTACTCGACCTCGAGTAAAACAGAAACATCCAAACGGTTTAAGAGTTCTCCAAGAGTTCAAGAAAGAAGGAAACTAAGACCACCAAGGGGAAAAATGAGTTTTTACAACATTCTTTCTTGGGTTTAATGATCTTCTATGCTCCATCTTCTTGCCTCTTTTTTTTCTTCTTCTTTTTCTTCTCTTCTTCCTCTCCTAAGAGATGAAATGAGTGCCTGCAAAAACACATATTTCTCTCATATCTCTCATTTTGCCTAGGAGCCTTTTCAGGTTTTCATCCTATCATCTCTTTGTTTTTCCATACTCCCCAACTCACTCATTTTTTTACAAGCCCGTTTTGCATAGATTGCCCATTTTGTTGGGTTTTCAACCTAACTAGCATTTCTTTTTTTTTAATATTTTTTTTTAAAGAAGTTCATGCATAGTAAAAGGTAGAAAATAAGATTACATACCCATGATGAGTCTCCTCCCCCACACTTAGTTCAAGCACTGTCCCTAGTGCCCAATTTCGGCTTTTGTTGTTTGTGGAGTAAGGTGATTTTGATTTTTGGTGGGTTGTGGATGTTTTGGTGGGGAAATGATGGAGATATGGTAGAGAGAAGGTAGAAAAATGGAGTTTTGGGGAGAAGGGGTCGAGGTTGGTATGGGTGTTTGGAGAAGATGAAGTGTTTTGGGGTGTGTTTTGGGGTTAAGTCGCAGGTATACCCGATCGGGTACTCAACACAGGGGTTCGAGTATGAAGTTTTCCAGTAATACCCGATCAAATATGGCTTAATACTCGATCGGGCCTTCAAGACAGGGTCTGGTAGGGTTGATTTTCCAGACATACTTGACCGAGTATAGTTGGATACTCGATCGGGCCTCAGAGACAGGCTCCCTTTGATTTCGTCTTTCTGTACATACTCAATCGAGTATTGAATTATACTCGATCGAGTATGCTTGCATTTCTGAAAAGCTTTTTTGTTTCGATCGAGTTCTGAAAACGGTTCCTCTTTTTTATCCATACTCGACCGAGTACATTTACATACTCGAGCGGGTATGCCTCTAGATACACTTTTTTTTTCACACACTATTGAAATAAAATAATACGGAAACATAAATTGCTTGGGTTGCCTCCCAAGAAGCGCCTAATTTTACGTCGCGGCACGACGTTTATCATTTTTTTGGTTTATGTGGGATCATGAACATCCCCTTTATTTTCAAAAATCTTTTTAGGCCGAGTTTCATTTTTCTTCTTCGGCCTTCCCCAGTAAGGCCGGGCCTTTATTTTTGTTACCACCTCAATTTTAGGTGGTTCCAACTTATGTTCGGGAGGTTTGATGAACGGTGGATGATTTTGTGCTTCTCCAACATCAAAGATCGATTCAATTTTTTCTTCAAATGGAGAGTGATTTTTAATAGAATCATAAATGCTATATTTTATTTTCTTTCCATCAAATTCCATAGTTAAAAATCCGCTAGAAACATCGATTTTTGAGTTAGCGGTTTTTAAAAATGGCCTCCCTAATAAAATAGGGGCGTCATGTTTATCACTCTCCATTTCGAGTACGTAAAAATCTGCTGGGAAGACTAGATCACCTACCGACACAAGTACGTCTTCCACTAGCCCTTTTGGAGACACACTTGACCTATCGGCTAGTTGGATTATGACACCGGTTTCTTTTAAAGGCCCAAGTTTTAAAGAATTGTAAAGAGTGTAGGGGATCACATTAATTGATGCCCCTAGGTCCAACATGGCTTTAGAAGAAATGGTGTCTCCTAGCTTGCATGGTATAGTGAACATGCCCGGGTCAGTGCATTTCTGGGGAAGTTTCTTTTGAAAAACTGCCGAGACATGTTCACTAATTTCATTCTTTTCTTTCCCTTTTGAGCGGCGTGTCCTCTTGATAGTGCATAATTCTTTGAAAAATTTAGCAAATCGAGGGACACTTTTGATTAAGTTGAGGAGTGGGATGTTTACCTCGCATTTGGCGAATGTCTCGTACATGTCTTTGTCATTCTTCAGCGGCCTTGTTTCCCTCAATGCTTCGGGGAATGGGGGTGATGGTTCATATGATGATAGTGGTGGAGCTTTCGTGGTCATCTCCCCTGGTTGATCTTCCTCCAGCTCCTCTTTAGTCTTCTCTCCTTCTTGCAACTCTTTTTCGCTTTTCAACATGATTGCATTAACATGTTGTCGTGGATTTTGTTCCGTTTGAGAAGGGAGTTTTGCTGAAGTCTTGGCCTCAAGTCTAATTACCGCACTTGAGATTTGTCCCATTTGGTTCTCAAGGTTTTGGATGCTAGACTTGGTCTCATGTTGAAATTGGACCATATTTTGTTGCATGGTCGAGACAGTTGAGGTGAGTGCTCGGATCATGTCCTCCGTGGACATACTCGAGCCTTGGCCTTGGTTTTGTGGAGGGTTGGATTGTTGGGGGTTTCCATATCTCAAGTTTGGATGATCCCTCAATCCGGGGTTGTAAGAGTTTGAGAATGGGTCGTACCTCCTTTGTTGATGCCCTTGGAAACCCAAGGCGTTGACTTGCTCTTGATTGTCCTCTTGAAGAGTTGGGCATGAGTCCGTGGGGTGTCCCTGTTGTGTACAAATGCCGCAGACTTTAACTTCTTGGGTCTTGGATTTTAAGAGGAAATCCTTAACCAAAGAAGTCAAACCGGCAACTTGACTCTCCAATGATGATGTTGATTCTACAGCGGCAACTCTACGAGATGAGGATTTGCGGCCAAATTGCCGTGAGTTCTCGGCCAACTCCGAGATAAGATTTATGGCTTGTGAAGGTGTTTTATTGACAATGCCGCCCCCACAGGCGGCGTTCACCATTCTTCTATCATCATCAACAAGACCATCATAAAAATATAAGATGAGGTCTTGTTCTGAGTATCCATGATAGGGGCAGCTGGTACATAGCTTCTTAAATCGCTCCCAAAATTCATACAAAGACTCATCATCCTTTTGCTCGATGTTGCTTATTTGCTTTTTGAGAGAAGATGAGATAGAAGCAGGATAATACCTATCAAGGAAGCATTTCTTCATTTGTGCCCATGTGTTGATACTCCCTGAAGGAAGATAGAAAAGTCAATCCTTCGCGGTGTCTTTTAAAGAGAAAGGGAAGGCCCTAAGTTTGATTTGTTCTTCGGTAACACCGTTTGGACACATGCTGTGACACCGCACCCAAACGTCCTTGAAAATTTAGTTTTAAAATTCAAAGTTTATGTATTGGATTTCTGATTCCCAAACGATTGTAAAACGATTAATGTTTTACGTAATTAATGATCGATTATTGTACTGATCGAACTCGTATATTAGTATCGGGCCTTAGTAATAAATAAGAGAGCCCAACATTATCAAATTAAGTGATAGGATGATTAGAGAAGAATACAAATGTCTATAGTCTCATCTTTGACATTATTGAGCTAAATAATGGGAGTATGACTTTTTCCTTCTATAATATCCATCAAGTAAATTATTGGGATGAGCCTACACATATTGGAAATAAATAATGTGATGTAGGAAGTTGACTTGTTCTAAATAAATTAGAATGAGTACAAAAAGTCATCTTTTGACAAAAGATAAAATAATAGGACCCATCTTTCCATTTTTGGAAGTATTGATAGATATTTTGGACCCCAAATTGAATGGGATCAATTGGGAACCATCCCACATGACCTTGGTACCTGCAAGACAAAGGAAAATGGGTGAGACAACTATGTGGGGCGGACTTTTGACTCATGAACTACAACATTACAAAAAGGAAATAAAAGAGGAAGTCCACACCATGTTTGATTGCAATCAAATACCCTACCCTTCTTTTTGTGAACCACATGCTCTCTTAGCATGATTGAGGCCTCCTAATACACTCCCCCTACACCCCATTCGAACTCCCCAAGATAAGAGAGAAGGAGAGAGCCACACAACAAAGATAAGCCAAAGAGAGAGCAAGCTGTCCGCAGATTCGTTCTTCAGTGCGTAGCTCTGATTGTTTGAGCCATAACTTGAGCTTCACTCGTCCAAATAAGGCTTATGATATACCAAAAGAAAGCTCTCAAGACGAGGAATCCGTGAAGGTCTGGTTTGCAGAAATCGGAGTAGTGGAAGGCTTCCAAACCGTCCGAACAAAACACAACCTCGCAGAAGAGGATTTAATCTTCTAAAGTGAGTTTTAACCCCAAAAAAACTTTACTTTTCATTCTCCAAATGATATGAACGATTGGTGGGACTATTATACACTAATTCAAGTGTATAATATGTCCTTATAAAGTTATTTTATGTGTGTAAAGGTTGGATACTAACCTAGAGCAAATCTTGGAAAACTAGGAAACGAGTTAACCGGAAAACACCCATTCTAGGGGCTGTTTTCGTATCAACGATTAAGGGTTGAACTAGCACTTTGAGGAGGCTGTTTAACACTTATATTTGAGCAAGGAATTAGTTCCAAATCCACCTTGACCAAAGCTTTGACCATTGGACCAAGAAGGGAAAGTTTAAAGCTCAATTGAGGTGAGGATTGACATCTAATTGCTTACAACTTGTAGGTTAAGCATGAGATTACCTAAATGCTTAAATCATTATTTTTCATGGATTATGATGATTATATATTGATGAAATATTGATATAGTTGCCAAAGAATGAAATTTGAAATGAATTGAGAATGTATGAATAATATGAGATTAAAGGAGTATAAATGAACTATTTTGTGAAATAGGCATTTTGCTCATGTATGAATTATGTGGATACATAAATGAATATTTGTGGATTGAGATTTAATACTTAAGTTGCTGCTACATAATTACAAATATGTAGAGAATTACAAATAATGAGGATAATGGTATGATAACAATAATCTTAATAGTATTGAAATACTAGTTAGTGATTATTGGGACTTGTTGATTAAATTGATCCTAGGGATTGGATTGTGTGAAAGGTACTTGAATATAGTTCAAGTGTATATAATACTTAGTATGGAACTAAGGTTAAGTTATGGGAAGTCTTTAAGGATGACCCATGGTAGTTTAATGATATGTCAATTCTAGGCATAGGGTTGCTTGAGAATTGGACCTTCATGCATGGTGATGTGATAGAGCCGAGCTCTAGAATGCATGTAAGGTGTAGACTTGGAGTCTATGTATTGTATAGCTAGAGCCGAGCTCTAGGACTTGCGTGGTGATGTGATAGAGCCGAGCTCTAGAACGCAAGGTAGGAAAATTGACCCGAGGTATATGAATTGTATGGTGATGTGGTAGAGCCGAGCTCTAGAATACAATGTCATGTACTAGGGTTGGACTCTAGGAGTTGTCGTGGCTTATAGTCACGGGGTTGGGAATGGTGATTTCCAAATGAACATGGGCCCACGGTCCGGCTACTTGACTTTTATATAAAGTAAGTATATTTTTTAAACGGGGTAACTTAGGGTTACAATCATAATGTACTATCACCCTATTTGAGGGTCTTGTGTTTGAAATACTTGTTGTATATCTATTAGATGCCTGCCACACCAGCACTTTATAGCCGTATAGAGTGCTGACCCCTTCGGGGGCGTCCCACCACCATTTTTCAGGTTGAGGCTAGAGCTTGCTTCCTGTGCTCGTTGCTCGAGAGATCATCTAGGAGCGAAGACTTGGTTCGTGCTTCCTCCATTCGGATTTTAAACATTAATAAACATGCTCATGGATATTTTATTATAGAGCCTGCGTGCTCATGAATAGCCCTACGTGGCCCTTTCGTTTTAAACAATGTTTTCCGCTGCTTTATGAATTACTTATTATGTTGTTTATGGATGACTTATGTGTGAATGATATTCATGACGCCTTGTATAATATGAATGTGTTGAACTGCGGTTGACTATTCGTATTGTACGGCGGGTTGTCGACGTGTCCGGGGAGGTCCGGGGCGTGACAATTAAGTTGGTATCAGAGCCATTATCCATAAACTTCATAATGAAGTCTCAAAATTCTCTTTTTGAAAAGATTTTGAAAACCATGAGCAAAGAAGTTTTGTACTTGGAGAGCTTTTGGTACTTGGGTTGCAAGGTCTCTAATTGTTAAGATGGTACCCTTAGCAATTGGTATGGCGGTGACTCGAGCCAAAATGTGTCTTAAGTACCTATCCGTCAATTGACATTTGATACGAGTCTAACGACTCTTTCCAAATTTCTTTCAGAGATGGACCGTGGTGGCAGGATTACTAGGAGAAACCCGACCGGCCGCGTACCAGTGGAGACTGGACAGGGCAGTCGAAGGACCTCTAGGGCATCTAGAGGAGCTGGCCGTGGAGGCCGATCACAGACCGTAAGTGACGGTCATGTGGACACAGAAAGTGAAACCTACTGGTCCTATGAGGACTCGACTTACCAACCGGAAACCGAGCCGGTTGAGACCCCTTACGAAGGGGATGACGATGATGTAAGTGATGAAGAGGGGGAGAATGACTCCCTAGCAAGAATCGAGGCGCTACTCCAACAGTATCACCGCGAGCGTGAAGAGAGGAGGGAACGCCGAAGACGCCGGGCTGGGCAACTTTCAGGCATGGCTTCGAGAGGAGGAAGTCATGGTGCATCTAGAGTCCATGTGGAACCACATGGAGGCCAAAATGATGGAGGTCCAACCATAAGGATCTCCAAATTCATCAAAGAAGCAAGAGATTTGGGGTGCAAACCCTTTGATGGAGCAGGGGACATTTCAGTTGCAGCACAATGGATCAAGAGGCTAAATGAAGCAGCCCTTGACATGCAAATCGCGCCAAGTCTCAAACTGAGAATTGCGGTAAGATTGCTCGAGGGGATGGCATCCAAGTGGTGGGATGGAACCAAGAGCAAGTACGGTGAGACCGTCGTTTGGGAGGACTTCCAACGGGAGTTCTTTGCCCAATATTATTCTGATTTTGAGGTGAACAAGAAGGTGAGGGAATACACCCTCCTAACCCAAGGAGGTAACATGACAGTGAAGGAACTTGAGTACAAGTTCCGGGATCTCGCCGACTACATACCGGAGTATGCTTGTGACGAGAACCGAATGGTAAACCACTTTTGGGATGCTCTTGACTTGGAGATACGTGATAGGGCAACACAATTGCCTAATATGACCTTCGCCCAAGTGGTTGACCAAGCGTTGAAGGGGGAGAAGCAGTGGGAGGAGAGGAAGAAGAGAGACGCCGAGGAGGCGAAAAAGAGAAAATGGGAGAGTCATGGCTCCCAAGGTTCCAACAAAAAGGGGAACCATGGAGGAGGATCTTTCCGTGCACCGCCGCCACCGTCTAGGGGGAATCAAGGCCCGAGTGGGCAAGGCTCGAGGTCACAAACCTCGGTGGTAACTCGTTGCAACAATTGCAAGAGGAACCACTCCGGTAAATGTCGCGACCCCCTAGATGTTTTCAATGTGGGGATGCCGGGCATTTGAAGGCGCATTGCCCACAATTGGGTGGGACAAGGACATCGGGACCGAGCAGTGGCCCGACGGGTACACGGAATCAAACCGGAGCGTCTCAAGCGAGCCGGGGACATGGGGGAGCGAGTACGAGCAACGCACCATCCGTGAATCAAGGAAGAACTCAAGCTAGAGTTTATGCGATGACGGAGGCGGATGCTCGAGCTAACCCGGACTCGGTTGCAGGTATTGCCCCTTGCACAATTGTATTTTGCCCATATTTAATCCATAAATTGATGACATAAGTCATAGGGATTGAGTGCGAGCCATTACGGGGTCAAACGGCGAAATTCGGGCCAAAACTGACCAAAAACAGGGACGCACGATCGTGCGTCCAACCCCACCCACGATCGTGCATAGGGGGCAGGGGCTCCGGGTGATTTTCGCGCAGGACACACGACCGTGCGTGCCGGTACGCACGCCGTGCGTGGACGCACGATCGTGCGTGTCCGGGTACGCACGACCGTGCGTAACCGGCAGTAGCCGGAGGCGAGCTTTTTCATGCACGCACGACCGTGCGTGTCCCACGCACGACCGTGCGTGGACCCCAGCCGCCCGAAACCTAAGTTTTCCATCTCGTTCTTCTACGATTGGACCCCCGTTTGATTCTGAACCTTTATATGAACCTATTAACCTCCAAAAAGGTGTCCTAAACCATTAGAAAAGGTATCTTACATGGTGTATACATGTAGGAACATTAAAGATTAATGGGAAGGATGCACGAATCCTTATCGATACCGGAGCGCAACGTTCGTTCGTGAGTGAGGCGTTCGCCGAGGACTTAGGGGTACAATCAATACCAATGACGCACACATTAGTGGTATCAACACCACTAGGGGATGACGTTGAAAGAACTAGTTACTATCCATCTTGTGAGGTGGAAATTGATGGCCAAACCTTGACGTGTGATTTCGTACCGCTGAGTATGATGGAGTTCGATGCAATCCTAGGGATGGATTGGCTAGAAAAGCATCATGCTAGGGTAGATTGCTACACAAAGGTTTTGGAACTCGAAGGCAATAATGGGGACACCCTACGCTTCGAGGGGGATCGAGGCAAATCAAACAGTTGTATTATCTCCGCCGTGAGAGCGAGAAGTATGATGAGAAAGGGATGTCACGCATATCTAGCATACGTGGTTGACAAAACCAAGGAGGAAACGAACATTGACGACGTGAGGGTGGTTTGTAAGTACCCGGATGTCTTCCCTAAAGACCTACCGGGGCTTCCACCTGATAGGGAGATTGAATTTGTGATCGAGGTCGAGCCTGGTACCAAACCAATCTCCATACCGCCATACCGTATGGCACCCGCTGAACTTAACGAGTTGAAAACCCAATTGCAGGAGCTTTTGGATAATGGTTTCATTAGACCCAGCCACTCCCCGTGGGGAGCACCAGTTCTTTTTGTGAAAAAGAAAGATGGGACACTCCGAATGTGCATTGACTATCGTCAACTGAACAAGGTCACAATCAAGAATAGGTATCCTTTGCCTAGGATTGATGACTTATTTGATCAACTACGAGGAGCAACCGTGTTTTCAAAGATTGACTTGAGGTCGGGGTACCACCAATTGAAGATTAAGGAGGATGACATACCAAAGAGTGCTTTCCGCACAAGGTGTGGGCATTTTGAATTCCTTGTTATGTCGTTTGGGTTAACAAACGCCCCGGCGGCATTCATGGACTTGATGAACCGAGTATTTCATAAATACTTGGACCGATTCGTGATTGTGTTCATAGATGACATCTTGATTTACTCAAGGAGTGAAGAAGAGCATGAAGAACACTTGATACTTGTTCTTGAGACACTACGGGAGAAGCAACTCTATGCCAAATTTTCTAAATGTGAATTTTGGCTAAAGGAGATTGGCTTCCTCGGGCACGTGGTTTCTGGATCGGGAATTGCTGTTGATAACAAGAAGATAGAAGCCATTACCGAATGGGAGAGGCCAAAGAACGTCAAGGAAATTCGTAGTTTCCTTGGATTGGCAGGCTACTACAGGAAGTTCGTGGAGAAGTTCTCTGTTTTGGCATCACCATTGACGAAGCTCACTCGTAAAGGGGCTAAGTTTGTATGGGATGACAAATGTGAGAAGGGGTTCATGGAACTAAAGAAACGATTGACCGAGGCACCGGTACTTGCATTACCCAAACAGGGTGTGGGGTACGATGTCTATAGCGATGCGAGCATCCAAGGGCTTGGGTGTGTACTGATGCAGAATGGGAGGGTAATCGCCTATGCTTCACGACAGTTGAAGAAGCATGAGGTGAATTATCCTACTCATGATTTGGAGCTGGGGGCAGTGGTGTTTGCACTGAAGATATGGAGACATTATCTCTACGGGGAGACATGTCACATATACACTGATCACAAGAGCTTGAAATACGTGTTTACTCAGAAAGAGCTAAACATGAGACAGAGACGGTGGATGGAGTTGATAAAAGACTACCATCTGGTGATAGAGTATCACCCAGGCAAGGCTAACGTGGTGGCAGATGCCTTGAGCCGGAAAAGCTCGTCTGGGCCATTGCTAGCTAATTTGAGGGCATTAAGAGCCCAACTGGAGGTATCCAGCGATGGTGCCTTATTGGCACGATTTGAGGTGAGACCTACGCTACTTGATGAGATCAAGAAGGGTCAGGAAACGGACGAAGAAATTATGAAGATCCGGGAACGCATAGAAGCAGGACTGGTGGAGGACTTCAGAGAAAGAGATGACGGTCTTTTATTATTTCGTGACCGAGTGTGTGTACCGGCAGATGATGAGCTCCGAAAGTCCATCTTAGAGGAAGCTCATTCATCGGCTTATGCCATGCACCCAGGGGGCACGAAGATGTACCGCGACTTGAAGGAGAGTTACTGGTGGTCGGGTATGAAGAGAGAAATAGCCGAATATATCAGTCGATGCCTTACATGTCAACAAGTTAAGGCAGAACATCAGCATCCAGCAGGCTTATTGCAACCACTTTCCATTCCTGAATGGAAGTGGGAACACGTGACTATGGATTTTGTGGTAGGTTTACCACGAACAATCAGGAACTATGATGCAGTTTGGGTTGTGGTTCACGAAGAGTGCACACTTCTTGCCTATCAACACTACTTACCCACTTGAGAGGTTAGCCAAATTGTATACGGATGAGATCGTGAGGCTGCACGGGGTCCCAGTGACCATTGTATCTGATAGAGACCCACGATTCACATCACGTTTTTGGCCAAAATTTCAGGAGTCTATGGGAACGAGGTTGAAGTTCAGTACTGCTTTCCACCCACAGACGGATGGGCAGTCTGAAAGAGTCATACAGATCCTAGAAGACATGCTGAGGGCTTGTGCATTGGAGTTCCAAGGAAGTTGGGACAACCACTTAGCACTTGTGGAGTTTGCCTATAACAACAGTTATCAGGCAAGCATCGGCATGCCTCCATACGAGGCATTGTATGGGAGGAGATGTCGTACACCGTTATGCTGGGACGAGGTCGGCATGGCCAAACTCGAGGGTACTGAGTTGGTTGAGGTCACCAAATCAAAGGTGAAGTTGATTCGAGAGAGACTCAAAGCGGCTCAGGATAGACAAAAGAGTTATGCAGATAAGCGTCGAAGAACCTTAGAGTTTAAGGTTGATGACGAGGTATTCTTGAAAGTTTCTCCTTGGAAAGGGATCATTCGATTCCAAACCCGAGGAAAACTTAACCCACGATATATAGGTCCATTCAGAATTATAGAGAGGATTGGGGCCGTAGCATATCGTCTACAGTTGACTCCTGAGTTAGAGAAGATACATAATGTGTTCCATGTATCCATGCTTAAGAAGTATGTGCATGATCCCTCTCACGTATTGGAAAAGCCGCCTGTGGAGGTACGTGAGGATTTGAACTACGCGGTGCAACCAATCAGGGTCACCGACAGGAAGGTGAAGAAATTGAGGAGTAAAGAAGTCCCAATGGTGAAAGTTCTTTGGAAGAGCGATCGGGTCGAAGAAGAGACATGGGAGAAAGAGGCTTTGATGAGGAAGCAGTATGCTTTCCTATTCGAGTAGAGCTGTGAATTTCGGGGACGAAATTCCTGTTAAGGGGGGGGTGAACTTGTGACACCGCACCCAAACGTCCTTGAAAATTTAGTTTTAAAATTCAAAGTTTATGTATTGGATTTCTGATTCCCAAACGATTGTAAAACGATTAATGTTTTACGTAATTAATGATCGATTATTGTACTGATCGAACTCGTATATTAGTATCGGGCCTTAGTAATAAATAAGAGAGCCCAACATTATCAAATTAAGTGATAGGATGATTAGAGAAGAATACAAATGTCTATAGTCCCATCTTTGACATTATTGAGCTAAATAATGGGAGTATGACTTTTTCCTTCTATAATATCCATCAAGTAAATTATTGGGATGAGCCTACACATATTGGAAATAAATAATGTGATGTAGGAAGTTGACTTGTTCTAAATAAATTAGAATGAGTACAAAAAGTCATCTTTTGACAAAAGATAAAATAATAGGACCCATCTTTCCATTTTTGGAAGTATTGATAGATATTTTGGACCCCAAATTGAATGGGATCAATTGGGAACCATCCCACATGACCTTGGTACCTGCAAGACAAAGGAAAATGGGTGAGACAACTATGTGGGGCGGACTTTTGACTCATGAACTACAACATTACAAAAAGGAAATAAAAGAGGAGGTCCACACCATGTTTGATTGCAATCAAATACCCTACCCTTCTTTTTGTGAACCACATGCTCTCTTAGCATGATTGAGGCCTCCTAATACACTCCCCCTACACCCCATTCGAACTCCCCAAGATAAGAGAGAAGGAGAGAGCCACATAACAAAGATAAGCCAAAGAGAGAGCAAGCTGTCCGCAGATTCGTTCTTCAGTGCGTAGCTCTGATTGTTTGAGCCATAACTTGAGCTTCACTCGTCCAAATAAGGCGTATGATATACCAAAAGAAAGCTCTCAAGACGAGGAATCCGTGAAGGTCTGGTTTGCAGAAATCGGAGTAGTGGAAGGCTTCCAAACCGTCCGAACAAAACACAACCTCGCAGAAGAGGATTTAATCTTCTAAAGTGAGTTTTAACCCCAAAAAAACTTTACTTTTCATTCTCCAAATGATATGAACGATTGGTGGGACTATTATACACTAATTCAAGTGTATAATATGTCCTTATAAAGTTATTTTATGTGTGTAAAGGTTGGATACTAACCTAGAGCAAATCTTGGAAAACTAGGAAACGAGTTAACCGGAAAACACCCATTCTAGGGGCTGTTTTCGTATCAACGATTAAGGGTTGAACTAGCACTTTGAGGAGGCTGTTTAACACTTATATTTGAGCAAGGAATTAGTTCCAAATCCACCTTGACCAAAGCTTTGACCATTGGACCAAGAAGGGAAAGTTTAAAGCTCAATTGAGGTGAGGATTGACATCTAATTGCTTACAACTTGTAGGTTAAGCATGAGATTACCTAAATGCTTAAATCATTATTTTTCATGGATTATGATGATTATATATTGATGAAATATTGATATAGTTGCCAAAGAATGAAATTTGAAATGAATTGAGAATGTATGAATAATATGAGATTAAAGGAGTATAAATGAACTATTTTGTGAAATAGGCATTTTGCTCATGTATGAATTATGTGGATACATAAATGAATATTTGTGGATTGAGATTTAATACTTAAGTTGCTGCTACATAATTACAAATATGTAGAGAATTACAAATAATGAGGATAATGGTATGATAACAATAATCTTAATAGTATTGAAATACTAGTTAGTGATTATTGGGACTTGTTGATTAAATTGATCCTAGGGATTGGATTGTGTGAAAGGTACTTGAATATAGTTCAAGTGTATATAATACTTAGTATGGAACTAAGGTTAAGTTATGGGAAGTCTTTAAGGATGACCCATGGTAGTTTAATGATATGTCAATTCTAGGCATAGGGTTGCTTGAGAATTGGACCTTCATGCATGGTGATGTGATAGAGCCGAGCTCTAGAATGCATGTAAGGTGTAGACTTGGAGTCTATGTATTGTATAGCTAGAGCCGAGCTCTAGGACTTGCGTGGTGATGTGATAGAGCCGAGCTCTAGAACGCAAGGTAGGAAAATTGACCCGAGGTATATGAATTGTATGGTGATGTGGTAGAGCCGAGCTCTAGAATACAATGTCATGTACTAGGGTTGGACTCTAGGAGTTGTCGTGGCTTATAGTCACGGGGTTGGGAATGGTGATTTCCAAATGAACATGGGCCCACGGTCCGGCTACTTGACTTTTATATAAAGTAAGTATATTTTTTAAACGGGGTAACTTAGGGTTACAATCATAATGTACTATCACCCTATTTGAGGGTCTTGTGTTTGAAATACTTGTTGTATATCTATTAGATGCCTGCCACACCAGCACTTTATAGCCGTATAGAGTGCTGACCCCTTCGGGGGCGTCCCACCACCATTTTTCAGGTTGAGGCTAGAGCTTGCTTCCTGTGCTCGTTGCTCGAGAGATCATCTAGGAGCGAAGACTTGGTTCGTGCTTCCTCCATTCGGATTTTAAACATTAATAAACATGCTCATGGATATTTTATTATAGAGCCTGCGTGCTCATGAATAGCCCTACGTGGCCCTTTCGTTTTAAACAATGTTTTCCGCTGCTTTATGAATTACTTATTATGTTGTTTATGGATGATTTATGTGTGAATGATATTCATGACGCCTTGTATAATATGAATGTGTTGAACTGCGGTTGACTATTCGTATTGTACGGCGGGTTGTCGACGTGTCCGGGGAGGTCCGGGGCGTGACACATGCTGGTGCACACGATGTGGAATTCCGAAAGATGTTTATTCGGGTCTTCTCCTCGTAGGCCATGAAAAGATGGCAATAGATGTATGAGCCCAGATTTTAGCTCAAATGTATTACCCTCGTTGAGTGTAGGGAAGGTAATACATAACGGTTGTTGATTCAAGTTCGGAGCTGTGAGCTCCATCAACGTTCTTGTTTCGAGAGCCATAGTTGTTGGCTCTTCAGGTTCGCTAGAATAAGAGCTAGCACTTGATGAATCTCCTGAGTCGGTATTTGAGAATTTATTTTTCAACCGCTCGAGAGTTTGCTCTATTTCGGGGTTTGATTGGTAGGTGATTTCGTTCAGTGAACGATATTTTACCATATACTTTACAAAGCTCAGAAATAGAAGAACTCTTTATATTTTGTTTAATTATTGTTATTATTATTTTTTTTCTTGAAATAAAAGAAAAAGAAAAATAATTGCCTATCCCCGGCAACGGCGCAAAATTTGACGTGCACTTTGTCGTGAGTGCACTCAAAATAAATTCAATACTAACACTTATACGTAGTATAACGTAGTAGAGTTCATATCCACAGGGAAAGGAACACTTCTCTTTTTATAGAAATAAATAAGTAATAACAGGGAGGTTTTATATTTGGTTGATGAACTTAAATTCTATTTAAGCACGAAGATGAACGAGTTATGTGGTTTAATTAATGAGAAGAAGACTTGGCTTTGCTTTTATCCACTTAATGAAATGTTCGCCGATCCCGGTTATATCTTTAACTATCTTCCTCTCGAATACTCAATCGAGGAGTATATCCAGTTCATCGAGGGTAGTTATTAATAACGAGATGCGTTCATTAATAAAACTTACTATCGAGTCAATATAGAACAAGCGTCGTATATTAACTTGATAGTAGCAATAAACTTAAGATGAAAACGATTGAGATTGATAACCTCAACACAAGCGGTTTGTTGGTTAATCGATGTAATTAGTTCCCCTTAGATTATTGACCATGAGATGCATGCATTAATAATCCAAGTTTACTACCGTGAAAGGACCGAATTAATAACAAGCGTATTAATCGACCGATTCTAGTATTAATTAATATATGAAACAAAACTAGTTGATTCTGTAAGTAATGTTCAAAATATTTATATGAAATATGAATAGGAATTAATTAATACTCAAGAAAGAATATTAAAGAAGATGAATCCTACTATAGTTAATATCAAGATGTTAACTAATTGTCATCTTAGTAACACTCCCCGATATTAACGTAGAGGAAGAAATAACTATTGCTATAACTAATGTCAAGATGTTAACTAATTGTCATCTTAGTAACACTCCCCAACATTGATATAGAAATAGTATTTAAAGAAAGAATTAATATTCAAGGAAGAAGATTAAAGATAATAACTCACAACTTACAAATTCATTAAGCTTCAAAGGAGCAAAACCAAGATGGAAGAGTTTAGCTCCTCATTTGGAGACTAAACATGATGAAAAATATAAAGAAAGAACTTGTCTAAACTGAGCTAAGAAGTATATGTGAATTGGTGATCTATTGTGAAGGAAAGGGGGTGTATTTATAGGCTTTTTGGGAGTGCAGCTCAGGTACTCGATCGAGTATATACAGATACTCGATCGAGTATGTGTAGAAACTCGAATTTGATCCATACTCGATCGAAATTAGAGTAAAATTTATAGCCATACCCGATCGAGTATGTCGGTGTACCCGATCGGGTATAGACACTCGATCGTGGTCAAAATCTTCCCTGCATGTTCCTTTGTTTTCGGATCCGATCCGATTTGAAATTTCAACAAGATACCCGATCGAGTATATACAGATACTCGATCGAGTATAGACAAAAAATCAGGATCTTCCCCTTTGTCTTGTGATTTTGCACCCTCCTTCTACTTTTGGGGTTCACCAACCGTCCTTTAAGTGATAGTAGACCTGTTTGAGCTCAGAATAAACCTAATGTAAACAATTTACAAGAATTTAACAAACTAAACTATTACACCAAAAGTGTGTAATTTCCGAAATATTAAACAACCAAAACTATCTAAAAACATAAACATACACACGGAAATTACGAGTGTATCAAGGATTTCATGTTGGACTATTCATGCCACCCACCTCAACCAATAGCAAAAATGAACTTCAACCAAAAAAAGTAAAATGATGGACCAAATCAATTAAAGGGATTCACCCGATATTTTATTGTGGAAATGTACAGTGCAGAATTTTTGATACCCAATGGGAGTCAAGGAACGTGCCTTTCATTTTTTTAACTGTTTACTCCCCTTCTTTACGCAATGCCAACACCAAAATCGGACAGGTTTTAACCATCAGATTAAGATTTTTTCTACCAATAGTAATTTTGTGTTTTACCATGGCTAGCAAAGTCTAGGATTTTATGATTATGCATGGGAAATTTTTGATTGTGACATTTTTAGGATTGTGACAAATTTCTTTTGCTTTTATATTAGTATAGATATTCTCCTTGATTTAGTGCTATTGTTGATTAGGCATACGTTATATCTAATCTAAATCCAATTTTAAAATATACGAAAGTAATAAAAAAGGGTTAATTCCCTTAATAAGAGTAAAACATTAAGAAAGTTCACAAATAGGAGTTTAATGTTTTTTAATCTCTAATAGGAGTAAAAATATATGACTTGACCATTCTACCATTAATGAAGTACGTGTCAGTTATGTTTACATTTATACGGAGTATTGAAAAACAGAAACATCAAATCCTAGGGCATCCACGAACGCTGCTTGTTGCTGCCACTGGCCTCCACCTCCTGCGCCGGCGGCACCCTATGGCGGCGCCACCGCATCTCCCCGCCAGCGCCGTCTCCGACCACTGAAGTCTCTGGCAACGACCTTTTACAACGATCTCTTTAGGCAATGAGCAACTCTGATGAGCTCTCATAGATCTGCTCCGGCGATGAGCTCTTCCGGCGACGAGCTCTTCCAGTGACAATGACCTCCCCCACCACAACCACCTCCTCTCTTACGATATGCCTGGACAGATTGGTGCCCACCTCATGCCTGGACAGATTTTTACTCGAAGTGCCATCATCGAAGTAGCATGCTATCTTAATGGCATTCATGCTTGTAACAACAAGTTCATGTTGAAATTGTGAAAAAATTGCCATTTTTTTACGTAGTGCCATAAATAACAAGTTTGGAATATTGAAAATATTGCCATTTTTCTTTACTTAGTGTCATAAATAACAAGTTCATATTGGAATATTGAAAATATTGCCATTTTTGTTTACTTAGTAGCATAAATAATAATATTTTCTGAAATCTCATGTTCACAATAAAAACATGGCATTAAATTAAAGTTTCTATATTTTAATAAGAAATTGTCATCTTGAAAATGGCATTATTTTTCAAATTGGCATTTTACGGATTTAAAATGGCTTAAAAAACTAATATCTGATTTTTAAATATATATATTCAAAATTAGTTAAAAGTAAGATCTGAAATTTTGAGATAATCAACATTTGGAGCCTTTGATTTTTTCACCCCCAAAATTTAAACCTAACTTTCAAAAATTCCATTTGAATCTGAAAATTAATTAAAAAAAATCCATTTAATAAATAAATAAATAAATAAAATAGATCCAAGACTTTCAGAAAATCCTGGTTGTAGGAGCCTCTCTTTTCAAAACCAAAATTTTCAAATCTAGAATATCAAATTTTATTTTGAATCTCAAAATTAAAGAAATAAAATCAGTAAAATATACCAAAAAGTTTAAGGGATGAAAACCAGGAGTATGAACACAACGAGGATGTGGAGAAGAGGTGGAGGAGGAGGAAGAGGAAGAGAAGAAGAAAGACGAAGAAAAAGCAAAAAGAAAGAAAGAAGAAAAACCTTACCTACTACGACCGCCATCCGCCGCCTGTCATCCGCCGGCTGGAGTTGGGAAGAAAAAAAAATGGAGGTTGACTCCATTTGAGAGGAAGCGTACAAGAACAGGAGGAAAGAGGGCAGGGGATGGAGAAGAAAACTGAGAGATCAGAGAAGATTGGGGAAAAGTCTGGGGTTACGGAGAAAACAAATAGAGGAAGGGTAAAATTGGGATTGAACTCCTATTAACTCCTATTTTGAGAATAAAAAACATAAGGTCTTATTTAGGAACTAATCTTATATTTTACTCTTATTAGGAGTAATTTCCGAATAAAATAGTATAATATAAATTAAGCACGATTTACGAATGATAGTTATGAGTTACAACTTAAAAGTTATGTATACTCTACTCATACAATTATGCTTTCTTAATAAACACTAATTTAAGCTAATGGGATGTTCCAAATTAAAGATTCAACCATTTTTATTTAAATAGAAGTTTTTCTATTTTATCTTTAATCTTCCGTAAACATTACTTTTATATCATTAACTAACGACGTTCGCACTGCGTGCGAGTAGTGCATGCCCAATGTAGTTAGTGTTATATGTGATTGCAATAAATAATAATCAAGAAATGAAGAATTCAAAAAAAATTGAGTATAATATTTTTTTAGTGATGAAGTTAATAACGTTACAAAGTGATGAATATGTGGGAGACTATCAAGTAATAATGACAAAAGAAATGATAGCTACGTACTCGTCTAATAATACATTAAAGGGAAAATAAAAAAATAAATCATGGAAGTTTTAGTTCAATATAATGTTAGTGTTTTTATGTGAAAATAAAAGGATATTTTTATTTAATAAATGTAATAAGTAACATACTTTTTTCATAACATGTATTTGTATTTCATGATAATGCAAATGTTAAGGACTTCAACATACCAACATCATATACCCAAATAATAGATAGTGAAGCTTTGGTTACAATTATTTTTCCTTCAAAGTCATTTATAATGACAAATTTTTACTTACTGAGCATCTATAATGACAGTCATTTGC